GCGCCGGCGAGGCGGTTGGCTGGCGAGCTAAACGAGGCCAGGCACGCCGGGAGCGCGCTCGCCACATTCGAGCCACGTTCGCTGTCTTTACTGTAAATGTGTTTCTGTGGGCTGGTGGGGAGACCACGTCCGCTTGCACCTGGCGTCTCCACCACCAGCGCGAAGCCTCTGCCCTGCTCATTTCTGGAAGGAGGAGGCTCTGAGACGCCCCGTGCCCAGAAGCACAGACCCGAGGGCTTGGATGGTGAAGGGGTTTGTTTCTTGCTGAGCTTGCGCAGCTCCTGGCTGAGCATCAGAGGTTTTGGTACTCTTGCTTGCGCCGGGGCGTGAGACGGGCACTGCAGCATCTGACGCTGCCTGCTTCTCTTCCAGCTTGGACGGCGGGGAGCTCTTCAGCCGAATTCAAGACAGGGGAGACCAGGCCTTCACAGAACGGGGTACGGAGCCCGTGGTGACCTGGGGTTTTATCTTTGGACCATTTCTTGCTGTTTATAGGAGTGTCTCTGGTCCAGCTCATCCCCTCAATAGCTCTTTCAAATCCCCAGCAGGGTTTTTGCTCTTGGGGAATGAGGAATGTGGGTGCAAGTGGCTCTGCTTTTCACGAGAGAGCAGGGTTAGGGGATGTGTTCTCAGCTGCCCCTGCGCTTTGTCCCTCCCGCTCCCGCACAGGCAGGAGCTTCAGTGACCTTGAGAAATACCCACCCTCCCCTCCAGGAAATGGAGACCAGCTCCTGTGATTCTCACAGATCTCATGAATCTCATCCCTTCTGCTCCTGTGGCCAGGAAAAGTGTCCACACAACCCAAACCTCAAGCCCATTGTCCCCACATCCCACTGGGGATAGCTTTCCCAGATGGTTCCCCTGCAGAATCTGGGGTCCCTAGTGGTGCCGGGGGCTGGGTCAGTCCCCCCACCGCAGAGCAAGCCCCTCCTTGGGGCTTGTGAGGTTGGGTTTTGGGATCAGTGGCTGGAGCCTGTCCATCCCTCCTCCTGGGAGTTTCTCTCCCATTTGCTGCAGGCTCCCAACCCAGGGGTGGGTGCTGGGAGGTGGCTTCTGCTTGGAAAGGGGGACTTTGGGTGGAGGAAACCCCTTCGGCCTCGGCTGTGCTCTTTGGCTCCTGGTCTGTAGAGCAAACCAGGGAGTGGTGCTCATTGTAACTTGGCTCTAAAGGCTTCTGATGGTTGATTTGTGGGTTTGTTTGGGTTGTTTTTTTTTTTTGCTGCTTCAGAGGCTTCAGAGATAATGAAGAGCATTGGGGAAGCCATCCAGTACCTACACTCGATCAACATTGCGCACCGGGATGTGAAGGTACTGTGCTGCATGCTCGCCCGGCGGTGCTGAGCCCTACTTGGCCCACGGCAATGCTGAGGCTGCTCCGGCTCTTCTGCTCAGTTCTTCCCTGTGTTTTCACAGCCGGAAAACCTCTTGTACACCTCCAAACGGCCCAATGCTGTGCTAAAACTCACAGACTTCGGCTTTGCTAAAGAAACCACCACGCACAACTCCTTGGCTACTCCGTGCTACACACCGTACTATGTGGGTAAGTGGCTGGGGGTCTGAGCTTGCAGGGGAGAGCTGGAGGGCAGAGCCGGGGAGGTTTGGATGGTG